TTTGACGCACCAGCGAGCACCTCGTTATTAGTTTGGGTATTGAACTTCAATAAAAGATAAGCCAAGGAGGAAACAATAAAAATATTGAAGAGAAGCTAAAAGACCTTTCTAGTTTCTCCATATTCGCGTCTTAAGGCACTTCCAGAAATAATCCCTAACTATAGAATTTCCTACATAATAACAACACGGCATAGTCTTTTTTTTATTTTTTGTCAAATAAAAACAAAACAAAATAAGTGCAATCAAGAAAATTTATCACAGTTTTAAATCTGTAAGTTTTACTGAAAGTTACTAACCCTAACAATGTTTCGGCAGAGAGTTCTAATAACTTTGTGGTTATTTATCCTTGCTTGTAAATAAACACGCGATGTCAGTTAAGGTAATGCAGATTCATTTTTATTCGTTGTTAGTAACACAAGCAAATTTTATATATGAAGAAGTTCATTCGTAACGTCCACAGTAAAGGAGTGGAATGATTAAACCAGCGCCTGTCCTCCGAGTGTTCTTAAGACTAGAGTTAATGGGTAAAATCCTTATAATAATAATAAATATTAATATTATAAATAATATTCGAAATCGAACGAAAATTATCGCGCCAGACTATACTGGGAACGGACCTTCATCGAAAATGATCGCACCAGGCTATACTGGGACCGGGCCATCATCACAGACAGGACTATTCTTGCGAATAAGCTTGATATTGTGCTGATGAACCGGGCACAGTCAAGGATATTTTTGATCGACATTACCATTCCGTATGACAAGAAACTCGTGAAAGCTGAAATAGATAAGCAAACAAAATATTTGGACTTGGCTCACGAGGTGACTTACATGTGGGGTGGTCTGCCGACCGAAATTATTCCTTAAGTCGTTTCTGCAAACGGGCTAATCACAGTGAGCCTCTCGGGTCATCTGAGGCCGCTGGGACTACGTGACGAACCACTCCGTGCTCAAATGCAGAAGGTGGTGCTCCTTGATACCGCCCGCATCGCCGGCCGGTTTCTTTCCCTTTCCCCCTAACCCTCGGCCGTTTGGTCTTCCCTGCCGAGGTCTTCCATCTGGTTAGGCTTTTATTTATTTATGTATTATTTATTTATGTTAGTATATTAAACATATATTTATGTATATTTATCATTCGCTTTTATATATTTATTCAGCCCAACCTGATGAGAATACTCTATTAATACCCCGGAATATAATATTTAAATGAAAGTTTTAAGATTTTAATTAGCAAAATTTACTTTTAATTATTGTTATCATCGGTTTGCTAACCCTCTTGTCAAATCTTGGCAAATCCTATATGATAAGATATATAAGATAGGTTGTAATTCTCATCTAGTTCTATGGTGAACCAAATTACCTTTTGATCTTAAATGACAGTAAGTTCCTGGATGTCGAATGTACGAAGTCATCTTCGGTTTACGCACCAGAAGCGACAAAGCTGCTTCAAGACTTATTGGTGAAATGAGAATGTGGAATTAAAATAAACTAATTTTTACGTAGTAAAGTTAAAGTTACAGCCTATATACGTCCCACTGCTGGGCACAGGCCTCCCCCCTCATTTCTGAGGGGTTTTTAGGGCAAGGAAGTGTCCGCCGCGCTGCCCAATGCGTGTTGGCGAACTTCACGTGTCTTCGAAATATTTTTTTTTCTTATTCCTCAGACATGCAGGTTTCCTCACGATGTTTTCCTTCACCGCCGAGTACGTGGTAAATCAGCACTTAAAATTGCAATTAACAATTTCATTGGTGCCGGCGGGGCTCGAACCCGGGTTACTCGCGTTCTGTTATATTTACAGCGAGCGTTAACCATCTGAGCTCTCCCATTGTTGCGTTCCCTCTCCTAAAATGCATACTACAGAAAACAGACACATTAGTGACATGTTTTTGTAAATTTGCGGTTTAAGCCTCTATGCATGGCTTACTTATGTCTTTTGAGTGCCTCAGGAAAGCAGTCGACGTCGCGTCATCTACCGGTAAGGGCAATCCAGCTAGTATAAAATAATATCGTCAAAAGTCAAAGGTTGGTTTCCTATTACTAATCTCATTTCAAAAAAATAGCTTTTACTACCTAAGCTTTTTAAAGCATTACGGATTTTATACGTGGTAGAGCCTCGCTGCAGCTATATTATGGTTTTAGCACGAGTGGGTCTATTCGAACGGGGAAGGACCACGCTCTCACAGAATACCAACGTAAAATAGCAACTAAATACTGCTGTGTTTTATATGGTGGAAGTAAAGATCTGGAGACCCTTTTTTTACTGAAAACGAGACATTCCATCTAAGTCCTCAGAGATGTCAAAGCATCTGCGTTCTGATTCTTAATCGAGGATAAATTTAGATGTCTATGAGCCACAGCATACACTTACCATCAGGTGGACTGTGTGCTCGTTTGTCACCATTATTCTTTAAATAAAATATAGTGATAAGTATGATTATTTTCGTTTTTTTACATTATGTATTCAATAAAGAATGACAAACACGATCATAGTCCGCTAAGAGGATATTATGGCCCCAAGAAACCTATACTCAATTAAAAATCAAAATACAAATGCGCCGCTGAGAGCTAAGACGAAAATCCTTTTACCAGTAAGGAGAGTATCCGGATCTCTTCATTCACCATAATATCAAACATAGAATAAATATGCTGCTTTAACACGGAATGCCAGAACCATGCGATGCCAGAACCCCGTTGAATAAGCATTGGTTCAAAAATATATTGAAATTAACAATAAAAATGTATGTACCCTTACCTTTCAGTTGTAATATTAAGTTTTAAGTAAATAAATTAAAAAAACAGTGATGAAAAACACTATTTTTTGTTGGAACTTAAAAAACTATTAAGATTTTTTTTAAATTATAGTCCGCGTATAAGTGGCTACTGAAACCATGGAGATTCGCCAAAAACAATTTTACCGACTATTCATACCTTTCAGATCTAAACACAGCAATACACGCACTGCTGCTTTGCTACAGAAGTAGGTAAGGTGGAAAGGATGGTACCTGTCCAATTAGACAAATGAGCACACAGACCATTCAATGGTAACTGGGTGCTGTGAGCCATACAACTCTACGTATATCTTCGATCAAGAATCAAAAAGGCAGATGTGTTGTCAAACCTAAAATCAAAGATGGAATGCTTTGTTTAAAAATAACAAGTTTAAAAGTTACAACGGTAATTTTTTTTTAAACCTGAGTACGTAACAAAGTTTACTAAAACGAGAATTTTTTTACATCCAATGTCACTTCTACAACTAAGACGGATTTACCAACACCCCATATGTTAAAATCCACCAAGCTTTTTACAGCTACAGAGCGTGCCAAAGAAATAGATTTTTTTTCTAGCATATGGGACAGATGAGCATACAGTCCACCAGATGGTAAGTGGATGCTGTGGCCCATAGACTTCCACATTTATCCTCAATTAAGAATCAAAATGCAAATGCGTTGTCACCCCTGAGGAATAAGATAGAATGCCTCGATTCCAGTAAAAATGTTATCTGGTTCTTTACATTCAACACACAAAGCACAGCAGCATTAAGCTGCTATTTTACGCTACTATTCTGTGAGGACGTAATCCATACTCAGCCTACATATTCTTTATACAACCATAATATAGCTAAAATATGGCTCTGCAACGTATAATATTTCTGTCTAATAATTGATTACTTGAAAAATTCCTGATTTTAAACTAGAATATGGTGTCTCATTTGCCTAGGAAAGGTATCATGAGTCTGTTTGTAATTTAATCCGTTTAACGTTTTTTTTTATCCTCATGTTGATAATACAATAAGATATGCTTTATCACGCGGATGCCTTTCGGCGTATGAAAAAATAATAGAACTGACAGAAGCCTTACTCGAACTCGAGAATAACCTACCATTTTGAATTTGACAAGAACCTCCCAAGTGCGATCTAAGACTCAGAAAGTTTCAGCTTGAGAATCATCGTTAACAGCCACTGCGGACAACAGCGGACTAACCAATCCACTGCGGACTACGTCCAGCCCACATAAAAGATTACCACAAAACGCCACTTGTTTAATTTGATTTCCTACATATCATACCAATCATATCAGGTCATCACTCCATGGTGCCACTTTGCACTTCGCTACCCATTTTATAAACGCGTTTAAGAACAAGGTATATGCAAATAGAACTCAATTAAAACAGTTAACTGCGTTAATTTTCTCGACATAATAGCATTCAAAATTACACTAAAATTTCAGTCATGTGTTTGTTTGTATTGATTTAAAAAAAAGCCTTTGAAAATAAAAATGTTTACGTTTTACTATATAAAACAATCCGTATCAAATCCTTTGCAAGCGTTAATATATCTTAGGCGTGTATCATATAGCATATAATATATCTTATCATTAAACTAGTATTGCAAAATACAAGCAATAAAAATGAGGAAAACTTAAAAGGTTCGTGTAAATCTCAAACCCCTTAGCCGTTTCATACCATGGCCTTCTTGGGGTCGTAAAACAAATTAATGAAAATGCTTTTCTTAATTCACGGCCATAAAATTAAAACAGTGCTTAAGTTACCTACTGAAACAAAATAGTGTTTGCTGAATTAGGTTAAGTACTAACAAAATGTTTAAATGACGTTATTAAAGTATATATATATATATATATATATATATATATATATATATTACTTCTGTTTCGTATGGTGAGTGTAGAGAACTGGAGACCCTTTTTCTTTGAAAAGAAGCATTCCATCTTAGTTCTCAGGGGTGACAGCGCGTTTGCAGTTTGACTATTAATCGAGGATACATATAGATACATATTGGATACATGTAGGGCCACAACATCCACTTACCATCAGATGTACTGTGTGCTCGTTTGTTAGGCTTATTCTATAAAAAAATGTTTTTACTAATAAATGTAGTATGTGTAATATCTTAATGCTTCCGTTTGGTTACTGATCATAGCAACGCATTTTAAACCAATTTTAGCAATAATTTTTCCATTTATGAAAAAAAGTTTAAATTTACCGGATCGAGTATCCCCGCCATCGGTACAGTTATTGTGTCTTCACCGCCAGCAGCCACTAATTTTTCCAACACCTTAAGAGTCTGATCCACTGCTGACCATTCCCCCTTTTGCGCCAAGCCCAATATCTTAGCCGCAGCTTCCCGCATATTAACGCTCGCACTCTGTGGCTTCGACACATCCCCGTTCGTTTCCTTAATCTCCTTTTTATCGCCATTGTTGGAAGAAGTCTCTTCCTTCTCATCTGTGCTCTTCGGTGCGATAGTTTTGTCATCGTCTGCGATCTTCTTCGGCGGACCTTTAGCGCCCTTCTTCCCGCCCGGGGCCTGAGACATCGTCACTTCATTACCAAAATCCTTGTCACTATTCCGGTGCACTGCACTGAAGTTCGCGAGCGATCATGTTGATTAATTTCGCGGTATATGTTGACCGTAAGGCGGGCGGAGCATAACTGCGGCAGTTGCGTAGCAGGGCCGACTTCTTGCATGATTCGAATAAATAAAGTCGACGTCGACTCGAGCTGGATTTACAAACAAAACTTACAAGAGCAACGTACCGAAATGTCTCATGCATTAACTCATTTATATGCTGATGAGAAGAAAATAGATCATAAGAATTTATGTTTTGGTGATAAATATTCTTTGATTGCACGATAATTAATATTAATGATTATTTTACAATATTAGAGTGAGAAACAAATTAGCACGCTAGTTGATAGTTATGGCTACCATAACGCATGGGCACTTGCAAACTTGCAATACACATTAAACAAAAAGGTCGCAAATGCGTTTTCGCTCTTAATATAGACAGATGAATTTGTCTCACAGCCTTTGATTGTAATGTCACGTTTATTATTTAAACAAAAGTAGTACCGTTTTTTTATAGAATAGCGTGACAAACGAGCACACAGTTCACCTGATAGTAAGTCAATTCTATGGCCCATAGACATCTACATTTATCCTGAATTAAGAATTAAAGCAGATGCGTTGTCACCCCTAGGACCTGAGATGGAATGCCTCGTTTTCAGGAAAAAAAAGGTCTACGGTTCTCTATACTAAACATACGAAACACAGCAGCATCAAGCTCATATTTTACACTGGTAATCTGTGAGAGCGTGGTCTTATCCCGGTCGAGTCGACCCATTCGTGAAACTGCCATAAGTTAGCTGCAGCGTAGCTCTACCACGTGAACGTGAACCTGAAATGAATTTACTTTTATGCCCAGAAGATTTGGGTTTGGGTCAGGAGTATTTAAAGGGCAGTAAATTTGAGAAAGTTACTATTTCGATATTAAAAGTGGTTTAGACGAGTATACAGAATGAATGGCGAAAGAGTGACAAAGCAAATATACGGTGCAAAATGAATTACAGAATCAGCAAGAGGCGCCCTAGGCGGAAGTTTATCGACGTAATTGCCGACCTATTCTAGGAACTCTTCAGGACCAAATTAGAAGAATCCTTAAATGACAATCATGTATGTCTGGTATATGGATGTGTAAGAAGCGAAAGTTGTGTGCCAGTATCGTTCCAACTACTAGAGCTGTGGTGGGTCACTATGATATACATGTGTTTGTTTATTTTTATATGGAATATGTATACAGATTAACTAATAATTAGAGTGCATTTTGCAATGTTGCCTTGACGGCCATTTAGATTAAATACCTCTAGCCCTACCAGTTTAGCAAGCCGCCAGTTTGCAGTGCACCGTTTGGGTAACGGCAAGAATACGCAAAAAGATAAACCAACTTTGTTAGACTCGTAGCTAGAAAAAAGGACCCTTATCATCTAGTCAATTTATCGCATACAGAGTCAGGCATTGGTACAACAACAACGTCCCTACACTCGAAAACCAGCTGATTTTTGGTTTTCTCAAATATTTCCTTTGGAACCTTCGTAGGCGTTGTGTTGTAAACATATCCCGCATTGGAACCAAAAGGCTCAGTTCAATGTGCCGTTTATAATATTTAAAATCAAATTCGAAATATTTTTATTCAAAATTGATCTTTACAAAGCCTTTTTGAACGCCATGTAAGCTTCGCTATCGAATGCGTTAAACCATTTCTTATCAGATCGCCACTTTATCTAACGGTAGATCGTATTATTAAATATGAGCACCGTTCGTAGGTCATAAGTTTCCAGTTTTTTAACTATTTTAGGTGTTAATAAAATAAAGGGTTTTCAATTTATTATTACTGAATACCAGCTCTATATTAAGATAAATCAGGATATAACAATGAATTTGTTTATTTTAATATCATCGTATGTAAAACCAATTAGTTTATTTAAATACCCTTAGGTAAGTAAAATTTTCTGATATTATGAGGTTGCCATTTTACAATTTAAGTAATTATATCAATGTAAGTCTTGCTTTATGTGAATCTTAGCAACAGATCATACAAGTTTATCTAAAATGATCCAATTGAATTAATTTTAAAATGACTTTTAACAAAAATTTCCACTAAATTGAATGAAAAAAATGACAAAGATAAAGATATTTTATTTTGCAATGAATAGAGAATTTATTCATATATTCTAACCAGGTGACAAAATATTCCTTAGCCCTTTCAGTAAACGTAACTTACGTTTATTACGTAAGTTGGCTAACCTACCTTCAGGCATTCAGTTGAATGATGGCGCTTAAAGGCGAGCCAATCCAATTGCCTGACTGATTTAACTGATTAAATAACAGACTTCGATAGTTAAATTTATAAGTTATAGTAATATTTTTTTTATTATTGTAGTAGTTAAACACTGGCTTTATAATAATTTAAAAAAAATAACTGGTCATTATTTTATTAAAATGTTGACTATGCCTAGTATAAAATTACGGAAATATTTTTTCTAAAGTGCTAGTTTTCTAACGCATGCGGATTTATAAAGCGGAAAAACACATTTGTAAACGCATTTTCAACCATCGCGATCCGTATCGTGGCCTTAGGAGGTCGAGGAAATTTGCATGTTTCGTCACAAGAAAGAATGGTGGGGAGGGCCAACGTCGCGTGCCCCATGCGCTACTTCCGGAGGGTGGCAGGGAGACGGTTAGGGCGGCACCACGGCCTCGATTCCACCATCACCAAGATCAGATACCGTTAAAGACCATTTTACCCTTAGAAAAAATAGCGGATCGTTTATGATGTTGATTGCAATAGCGCGGCGTAACAAACTTATTTTTTTATCTGTTTTGTTATTTTTATTTGTAAAAAGATTAATTTTTGAACCATTTCTTAACTCCAGAAAAATCGATAGAACATTAAATACAATCTTTTTCGTCAATTGTTTTTAAGCCTCGTAAATATATTGTTTTTATTAAGGTTTTCGGTTTCATTATTTATTAAGGTTTTTTTATACAGAAAGGTATATTTATTAAAAAAATTTAAATTTTGAAGCTGCACTACTGTTCCAACTCGAATAGTAATTGTATAGATAAACGTATACTCCTAAATTGTTATTTCACCATAAAAACCGTTTAGTTTGATGAATGATACCAGCTCCGAATGTTCGTTTTAATCTTCTTAACGACATTTCTAATATTTTTATAGAAGAGGGAGCAAACGAGCACGCGGCTCACTTGATGGTAAGAGTCGACCGCCGCCCATGAACAACTGCAATACCGGGGGAGTCGCAGGTGCGTTGCCGGCCTTTGAAAAATGAGTAGGGTCTTTTCTTGAAGGCACCTAAGTCGCATTGGTCCGGAAAAATCGCTGTTGGTAGTCGATTCCACAAGGAAGTTGTGCGAGGAAGAAAACTCCTTCTAAATCGCACAGTGAACCTCCAATCATCCGGATGGTATGGGAGTTTTGTTGCGATGTGCGAAGGTGAAATTGAGCGGCTAGAAGTAGTGAAAACAATTTTTCTGAGCACTCCCCGTGGTTGATGCGATAAAATACGCAAAGAAATGTGATATCTCTTCACAGTGCCAGCGAGTCAAGCCGATCAAAAAGAGCTCGGTCGCCAACGATAGAGTTGCTCTGTGCTGGACGCGATCAAATGGAATGAGGAGAGCTCCGGCTCAGAGATGGATACAGTATCCCGTGTGAAGCCGTACTTGCGCCTTGTAAAGTTACAAGCGGTGTGCCGGTACGAAATTGCCGGCTCCGCTGAGCGCGCCAAGCTTTTTAGAGACCAATTACTCTCACTATTAAATACAAACAGCTTTTTGGATAAAAAACTTCAGTGCTATGGAGGTAACGATATTTTTCAATAAGTACTCTAAAAATACATATGTTGTATCAAAGGGTCTTTTTTGTAAGGAAAAGAGATGTTGTAAAAAACAGATATTGTAATATAATATGCAATATCTAAATAATTTAAATGTTTCCATTTTTTATATTGCCTTTTTTATAGAATAAGGGTAACAAACGAGCACACAGGCTACCTGATGGTAATAAATTGGATGCTGCGGCCCATAGACATCTACATTTATCCTCGATTAAGAATCAAAACGTAGATGCGTTGTCACCCCTGAGGACTACGATGGAATGCGTCGTTTCTAGTAAAAAAGGGTGTCCGGATCTCTACACTCACCATACGAAACACAGCAGTACTGAGCTGCTGTTTTACGCTGGTATTCTATGAGAGTGTGGTCCTCCCCGGTCGAGCCGACCCATTGGTGCTACAACCATAATATAGCTGCAGCGTGGCTCTACCACGTATAACAATTGCCTTACATGAGAGCTTGCAGAAGGGAAAATAAAAGCGAAAATTATTATATTCTATATTTAGATAAAGCCTCAATAAACAAGACAAAAGAAGAAAATAAACTCGCTATGTGTTTTAAGAACCTGTTTCCAAAGGAGCTTTATTGCAGAAGCTATAAAAGAAGGTAATTAACGATAATTATTTATGCATTAATATGTACTCAACAACAACCAAAGTATTCCGGCCACGCAACATACATAAATTAATCATAAATTTTACAAATAACGTGTAATAACAGTGAAGCCGATCTTCAGTGTTCTCAGGGTTTTTGACACCTTAGTAGCATAGTGGCTCAGCATTTGGCAATGCAAAGCTGCGTCGGCAGTCCGAATCCCGCACAAGAAACAAGTATCAATATGGCCGACAAATAACTTTTCCTTGATGTTTGTCTATACAAGTAAACAACAGACATAGCTCTAATTTTTACGTGGTAGATCCATGCAGCTGTATTATGGTTGTAGCACGAATGGGTCGGCTCGATCGAAGAAAGACCACGCTATCAGAGAATACCAGCGTGAAATAGCAGCTCAATGCTGCTGTTTGGTGTGGTAGAGACCTTTTCCACTGAATACGATGCATTCTTAGTCTTCAGGGGTGACAACGCGTCTGCATTTTGATTCTCAATTGAGGATAGATTTA